TCACAATACCTTTTTTGAAATGGTTAATTTGAATTCTAACAGCCATTTTGATTTTAATTATACAATGTTACATTGATAACGTCCCCAGATTTCTACTCACCACTGTAGACTGCTGAACGCTATAAATGATTGTCGTTCATGGTAATTTAATTGGTGATCTGTAATGTAAGACTTACCACAAGAACCTCTCCCCATATACTACCACACAGCACGGGATACGGACTCTCCAGTGCCGTCCACATGATGTAGGCACCGATACAGCTGCCCAGAAAAGATATAAATCCAATCACAGTATTGTTTTTTATTGGTGAAAAATGAACAAATAAACAGGCGGTTGGGTTAGCCATCAGTCCTAACTTGACGGCTAGATGGTAGGCGACGTTGCCGTACGGTAATGTAGAGTAAGTCTGGATCGAATTCATGACGGTGTTCATGAGGGCGTTGACCCACGCCTCCAACAGCAGCATGTACACCCAGCTACAGGTATTCATGGAACTATTTGCTTTGGATTTACCGGTAGCAGGTATCTCGAAATCTGATTCAATGGTCTTTGTTGATCGATCATAATAATGGATATCATCCATCACCACTTGGTCCCCATTATCAGCACATTTTCGGTAGATTAGTCGAAGGTTCTTATCGATGCCGGCTCTCTTTACTTGTTCACGTTTACACACCGGAAGGTAGTTCAGCATAGTGAACGCCACGAAGCTACACGAGAGCATCGCAGCAAGGAAAAAGAAGTAGGTGCCGATGGAGAAACGTGGCGGCGGTTTGTAATAGGACAGCTCGTAAGTGGTAATGTTTGAAGTCTCGTTTAAAACTGACGAATTTCTGCACTCTGGATTCCCTCCTCTTCCTTGCATCAACCCGACTAGCTGGCACGAACGCGCTGAGTCCTTCGCCGATAAAATAAGGTGTCATGTATTTTATGGGAAACACGTGCATGAAGGCCAGGAACGAAACAGACGACGTGCAGTCAACTAAAGCCAGTAAGAAGGAGAGAGTGAGTAGTGCAGTACTGTGCTCGACACCGTTGACGTAAGAAGTGTGATCCCAGAAGAAAGCAAGCAGTAAACACGATATGGCGCCAATACCGATGATGATGTAATTAGTGGGTACTTCAAGGTGATACTTGGTGAACTTGCTAAGCACTACGAAAATTAACGGTCCAATGTTAGCAACTTGACTTATGATGACGACATAGGACGCTAAATTCCATCCCTCGGGTAGAAAGTGGACCATTAGTGGTAATTGGACCCACAGTCCATAGACGTCGATCCATGAAGACATTCCTAGTAAACAAACCAATGTTCCGATGATAACTGACACTGTTTTCTGCCCCATCTTGTGTTTGATGAGTGGATATATCTGTCGAAGAAACACAAAAATAATGCAAGTATATTATATCAATAAAATACCATAGAACGTTTGTAGGTACAACGTCGCTATACTAGAGCTCGAGCCTCTACTTGACACAATGTACATATCTTCAGTCATTTTAACTTTGATAACTCAGTATTACGTACCAGGAAAGTATATATGTTAGTTCTACGGTTATAAAACAATAACAATGCAAATTCATGAAGTTCAGATTACAGAAAAAGGAAGTTCTCATTGTTTTTTATTTTACGAGAATAATGTCTCAGAATGTGCTAGCGTTCAATTTGATTGTCATGTCAGGATTAGCATACCATTATGACACCAAAAAAGTTCGTTTTGAATATAATAGTAAATCTTTGAATTGGACATTGAATACAATGGCGTTTTGAGTGCTTAACCCGAGGTAAGCGTTCGTACACACTTGTTAGTTCGTACTAAGAGTCTGGACCAGGTCTTCTTAAAACGGGTCAGATTTAGCTTAGTTTTCTCAGCACGGGCTAAAGTTATTTGCCTCTTAGCTAGTGTTGTGATAATTACAATATACCATAACATTGTAAGTTCTATTAGACGCATCTCCATCTCTTCGTCCCAGGTTTTGTCTTGTTCATATTTTATTTGGTATTCGATATTATAATAATTAGTTTGTGCTTTTAGCCAAGTTCAATTGTTGGTGTTCATGTGGCTACAATTTTTATCTGATCATCTCCAAATTTAGGAATCGTATGAACCTCTTAAAAAATGTTGTGCAAGTTAAATTTTGGTGTAGCTAGCAAGAGCAACTTTTAAGAAATAGGGTAAAAATTTAGCTGAAATAAAACATTTTTAGACGTGGAAATAAGTGTAAAAATTACTAACTACAATATTATTTGGAAACTTATACACAATTCAAGCCTTATTAAGTTACTTTTATTTTTGCTTGGAGATTGCTGTTACAGTACTGTTGTTTTTAGGAACTTTTATATAAGTCTTGTTATACTATTCTATGAGAGACATTGAGATTAATATAATACATTTGACGAACATGAATATTAATTAATTTGTTATGTGATTATGATGACTTCATTGCTCTTTCTATTTTTGTTAAGGATTGCTCCCACTTAAACTTTAGCCAGTATTTTTCCCGCAAAATTTAAAAATAAATTATTGCGACTTTTATACGGATTTTTGCCTCAAAGTAAAAGATATCGCATCGTTTGTATACATACATCCATTCATTTGTTAATCTAGCTTACAGCGTTGTCATAGTTACTCTTACGTATGTTATTTTATTTCCATGTGTTTTGACAAATTAGAATTGCAAACAAACGGTCATTTTATAAGACGATGTCATAAAATCCTTAAGTTCACTATTATTAAGAACGTATAGCCAATGTATCTCTGGATTCAGGACGTTATTTATATTCGGTTGGCGACTACCCACTCAACATCGCCATGAATCCTGCTATAGCAAAATCGGTGGATGCACAGCAAATTGATGCGCACTGTATTGAGTTAAGCATATGAACCAAATACAAAATAATAACTGCCAGAACTTCGATTTATCCGTGAAAATCTCAATTACCTATCGAATTTGGCGCAATTCATTAAAATATCGTGTAAGAGGAACCGAGATTAGATTATTGTTGGTGTGCGCTTGCGCAGTCCTTGTATTGCAAAATCCATGGGCGGTGATGAGTGGGCAGTAGACGATCGAATATAAATAACGCCCACTCTGACAACGCCCTGGATCCAAGAAGGGTATACAACTCGTATAAGGGCATGTTCGAAGAGACTGTGACTGTAGTAACTGTAGTGCATGTGTGGTGGGGAGGCAAATGTATTGGTGCAGTACTTTCAATACAGATAACATTATTGTTCTATGAGTTCTCAAATAACTACTGATTTACAGTAACTGGAAGAGAAGTGCAGTGGTCTGTGTTCATTTAAAATGGCTACAGTTGATCACTGAGACTAACCGCAGCATAATGTACACCAATCGCCATTACTGGTGTCACAAGGTGGATCTCGTGCTTTTCTGTTTGTATATTAATAGGTTCACATTAATATATTAGAATACACGTCAAAATAATGCTAATAACCTGAGTTTGTATTAATGATATGTTCCTGGAGAATCCACAGAACAGTAAAGAACAATATTGTGTTACATAAAAACCAACTTAAATGCGATATATTGCGACAAATACTTGATCAATGATAGATAAAATTAGACTATGTTATATAACATTGTCTACAGTTGCGTCCATGCCGAATTCAGTTGGTAACATCACATATGGTGGATATATGTGAGTTACGTCACATGATTTACATATCATTAGCATAATACGAAATATATAACAACGGAGGCCGTAAAATATCTTTCAGTATTAACAGAAATGTTCACCATCGTTACGATTTGAAAACATTTTCCTTTTACTTACGGATATTTCAGCCCTGATCACTGTCGTACTTCCAGGCGTAACATATATCAGTCGACCACCCCCTCGTCCATCACACGTGATATGCCAGGAACCTCGTCCAGTGATTTAATATTATGCCAGTCACAATTAAAGGAAATAACGTTGATTATTTATTTAATTATTTGCGAACATTTATAAGATTAAAACGAATAAATCACGTGAGTATCGATCGTTTACAAAATCATCAAACTAGGGAGTCGGTTGTATCGATTTGATTCGTCTCGTCTCATCTCGGTCCAGGGTTTTACATTCTGTCATGTCAAAATATTTCAATACGCATTCTATTTTGAGTTCTGTATTCCTCATTAAAATATGCTGTTTTAAAATGCAACTCAATATGATGTTCATAATTTTCAAAACTGCTGAGTAAAAAAAGCGTTTTTGATTTTTTTGTTGAAAAAAATAACGATTTTTGTCATCAAAATCTAAATGAAACATTGCCGATCGACGAATCAGTAACATAGTGTATATTATCCAATGGCCACCATATTTACGCCTTTTGTATAAATTGCTGGCATTAATGTAAGAA